AAGAGTCAAGGTTAGACAATGTCATTTATTGGATTATTTTTTACCAAAGACAACATTGAAAGTATTAGTTTTAGATAGTTTTAGATGATGACGGTACGTAGTCTTTGCAACTTCACCAAAAATGGGGTATATCCCAAAGTTTTCCAAAAGATTTGGATTTCCATTGCAAATGTTTATGGTACGGAGTATATCACTTGTTAAATTCTAGAGGTTGCTATTACATTTTGCTCGATTTTTTAATCGTTAACTGCAAAGAAAAAAATAACCATGCGGCACGAATTAAAATAGTAGTATTGAAATAAACTAAATTTTGAAACAATCAACCTTCACACAATCGTGACATGATAAAAAGAAGGCAAAATTGACAAAAATACTCCCAAAAATTACATATTTTACATAAATACTCTCAAATTTGTTTATTTACATCATTACTCCCACATTTTTCTTTTATTTATATCATTGCTCCCAAATTTGGTAGTGATCATTAGTGTTACTTGGATGCATTTTTTTGCGTTAAGTGAGCAGTTAAAATGCATGCAGTCATGTATTTTTTTCACTCTAATATACCAAATTCACCTCAACTTATTCTCTCCATCGACTTTCTCACGTCCTAGAAAGCCTAATCATTGCCCTTATTTCCATCACTTTTTTAAAAATTTTCAGATTTCAAGCTTCCTAAATCTTTTTAATGTTTAATATCAAGTCTGTTCATAATAATTTAATTTGAATTCAATAAAAAAAAGATGAAGAACCCCGTTTAAAGAGACGCACCCGAGGAACACTGATGATGAAGCAATCGTGGAGTAACGACGTAAATAATAGATAAATGTGGGAGTAACTATGTAAATAAACAAATTTAGGAGTATTTATGTAAAACATGAAATTTCTGGAGGTATTCTTGTGAATTTTGCCTAAAAAGAAAGTGGGGCTAGAGTAGCAAAAGTAGCAGAAAATTACTCGCAGGTGACGCGAGTTTTGTTGAAATAACTCTCAGGTCCCTCTATTTTTAAAAAGGCAGCAGAGGTCCTTACATTTTGTTGTAATGACTGAGAGGGGACATTTCATCCAATACATCATTCGTAAGTGTTAATAAATGTATTTTTTTCCTATTTTTTGAATACCGTTTTTCCTATTTTGCCATTACCTTGTTATTTCTTTTTTTATAATTTTTTTATTTCATTTGTTTTAATATAATATAAACAATTTTGAATTTTTATATGATTTTATAGGAGAAATTTTAAAATAACACTTTAAAAAATAGTAACAAAATGAAAGAAAAACAAAGAAATAAAAAAAGGAGCGACCTAAGATTTATTATCTTAAAACATTTAGAAAAGAATAGGAAAAAATACATTTATTAACGTTTATAGATGAAATATTGGATGAAATGTCCCNTAATATAAACAATTTTGAATTTTTATATGATTTTATAGGAGAAATTTTAAAATAACACTTTAAAAAATAGTAACAAAATGAAAGAAAAACAAAGAAATAAAAAAAGGAGCGACCTAAGATTTATTATCTTAAAACATTTAGAAAAGAATAGGAAAAAATACATTTATTAACGTTTATAGATGAAATATTGGATGAAATGTCCCCTTCTAGTTATTACAACAAAATGTAAGAACCTCTGCTGCCTTTTTGAAAATAGAGAGACCTGAGAGTTATTTCAACAAAACTGGCGTCACCCATGAGTAATTTTCTGCTAAAGTAGGGAATAAATGCTACTCCGGGTAGTATTCGGTGGGTGACTCGCTTGAGATCACCTTTTTTAAAAAATGACTTTTCTTTATACTTCTGGTTTTTTAAAAAATTTCTCATCACTGTGTTTCAAAAAATACTTCTGGTTTATTATGCTAAATTTGTTTATAACATTTGTTTATTTGAATTTTTCTTGTTTGATTGAAGAAAATTTTTTGTCACTTGTTTTGTTTTCCCGTGTCTCAATTTATGTTGTCTTTTTTTGATGTATGACGTTTGATTGAAATTATTTTCAAATCTTTTAAAATACTCCCTCGTCCCCAATTTGATTACAAATTGCGGGTTACGGAGTAAAATTTTTTACTTTTTGAAATCATTTTATTAAAAAACTGGTATATCAATAAGATATAAAAATTACATATTAAAAAACTACGTCAAAAGTTTTACAAACCAGAGGTGATAAGAATATTTTATTTTATCAAATACTTAATGGAATCGCGTAAACAAACAAAAGTTGTCGAGAGGAGAGAGAAAAAAATATTGTAATCTAATTGGGGACGGAGGGAGTAACAAATAATATATTTTAAAAAATAAAAATTAAATATAAAATACTAGATCAAAAATATCTACAAAACTAATCGTGACATGATTATTTTATTTTATCAAATTGTTAACAAAAATAGATAGAACGTAAATAAAATTTGACCTTATAAATAATATTTAATTTGGGATAGAAGGAGTAGGTCATCATGATGTCTACAAGAAACCACTTATTTTTTCAATTTGACTTTTCATGTTCTCTCATATTGTACTTTGACTATTAATATATATCTATACATACATAATTATATTTTAAAAAAATTTGATATTTTAAGAATACGTTTCAATAAGAATATATTGATATTAAATTTATCTCATAATATAATGTATTTTTTCAAACCGGGGCACTAAAAATACTCTTGAAGCTCCGGGGCTTCAAAATTTCTTTCTCTGCCACGTCAGCTTTAACTTACCTCACAGATTCACTGAAAATGGGTTTGAAGCCACGGGGCTTCAAACTGGGGCTTCAAATCTTCATTTTTTACATTTTTAAATATACATCTTCTAAATTTAAATTAATAAATTTAAATTAATTTATCATTTAAATTAATCGCAATGAGACTAGTGCATTAAAAAAATTACATTCATTAAAAAAAATTACATTCATAAAAAAAATTACATTCATTAAAAAATTACATTCATAAAAAAAATTACATTCATTAAAAAAATACTCTCTCCGTCCTAAAATTAATTTCTCATTTGACTTTTCACGGTCTCCAATGCGGCACTTTGACCATTAATATCTTCATTTTTATATAAATATATATTATCAAAATAATATATTTAAAAACTATGTTTCAAAATGAATCTATTCATACTAAATTTATATACAAATTCAATATATATTTTTCGTAATATACAGTCAAAGTTTAAAAACTTTGACTGTGAAAGTCAAAATGGGAAATTAATTTTAGGACGGAGGAAGTATTACATAAAAAACAACAGTACAAAGAAAGTACTAATTATTCGAGCGACTAAAGATATGTTCGATCAAATCTGCCGTTAGTGCATTGTGAATCTCTCGGCTTCGAATTTCTTGGCGGTTTCTTCGTTTCTTTTCTTCGGTGATTTCTTCGTACATAGGCACCTCCTCGTCCGGGTTGTATTGACAAATCACAGTCCCGTTGTCCTCTATGATCATATTATAAAGAATAATACATGCTATTGGGTTTTAGAACCCGGGGGCCTAGAAGACTAGGCGGAAGAGTATTGAACTAAGTCGAGAGTGCACAAGTTTGGGGTCAAGTGAATTCTGAGTATTGTTGTGCTTGTTAGAACGTCCCTCCCCTTTCCTTCGGAAGGGGTTTATATGCGAATTACAATATAGGGTTCCCTATGTTGGTCCAGAGTCCAACGGTCTGGACCCACTAAGATTGGGTTGTTCACTGACGGCGCCTAATCACATCATTATCCCTAAGATTGCTATACAAAATAGGTTACAAATAAGGTGGCTAGAACAACTCTGCTAGAGGTATGGCAGGGGTCCAATCGTGGGTCCCTTGATCTTGACTATTTAGACAGCTCCCTTGTACGGATCTGGTCTGCTGGTGTCCCGGGCCGAGGCCGAGCATGTACTCTGTCTTCGGAAGTCTATTGTGTTGGAATGCATGAGTTCAACCCTTTCTATGTTGTTAAGTGTTCATGACTCACGGGTTTTGATAATTGACAAACACGCTTTTTCAAGTCAAGATCAAAGTGCTACAACGACATACACGAAGACTTGAAGTGCCATTCCTTGAAATATTCGAAAAGGTGAACAGGATTTTATTGGAGTACGAGACGCGTTTAGAGTGCCTAACGGAGGACTCGGAGGAGTAGAAGATTTCCGAAGACCTTTTATTTATTTGAGTCGTAGGAATTTTTGTAAGGATGACAAAAATATCTTCTCTCTAAAATTATTTCCATGAGAGTTAAAATAAAAATTATATTTATTTTTAGAGTCAGTTGAAAAATCCTTTTAACTGTTCAAAATAGTTTTATTGAGTCAGTTATAAAAGGTATGCCAAACATTTATCAAATATTTATTTTGATATTATCAAATATTTTTGGTAAGCAAAAATATTTTATTCAAATATTTTTTGGGTACATTGTTTGACACACAAAATATTTTTGGGACTCATTTTCTACACCAAATATTCTTTCTCATAATTCAAATTTGAATTTGAATTATTTTATTTGAATTGGGAGCTTCCTTATCGTGATTTATTTGTCTCAAACATTGGATTAAATCCAAATTGTCCTTCACCTCGTCCACATGCGTGTGTTCTTCGTGTTTGGGTATTATTGTTTCAATAATCGATTATTACCTCTAGAGTTAATCGATTATCTCGTACAGAATGAACTAATCGATTAACACCTTTGGCTTTAATCGATTATCTCTTTTCTGCGCAGAAGGAATTTGGCTCTGGCAAATTTAATCGATTTTTTCCGATGCTTTAATCGATTTTTGATGATGCATTAATCGATTATGGTCATGCATTAATCGATTATTTTGCTGCATCTTTTCTGCACAGCTTCTTTTCTTGGACCAACGAATATATTCCTTCACTTCCTATTTAAACACTCTTCCTTGGTCATTTTTAAGAACAAGAGAAACACTCCAATAGCCTCCTTTCTTGAAGTTATAATCCTCCATTCAATTCTTCCTCAAATTGATATATTTTGAGAGAAAACTATTTGTTTTTAAGAGAGGTTTCTTGTCATCCATTAGAGCTTTAATCATTTCTCATTTCTACTCTTTTGAGAGTTTATGTTGAGAGGTTGAAGAAGATTGTTCTTCTTGTTGTTCAAAATTTATGTGACTTAAGTCTTGGTTGTAAAGTTTTGTAGAGGGCATATCTGCGAGCAGTTGTGTCGAGGCTTGTGGGATTCAAGTGCTCGAGTTGTAAACTGTTTGTTAAGCACCCGGATATGGCCAACACTGAGGAGGTCCTTCACCTCCTTCCTAACGAAGTCTCTCCGGTCACTGGCTAGGTACCTCTTCTTCGATCTGACGTACCGGTCGACTTCCATCCCTCACCGCCAGCCGATGACAAATGATTGAGCGGTCAATTCTGGGCATATCCGCCACGCTCCATGCAAATATGTCCGTGTATTTTTGGAGCACCCGTGTAATCTCCATCTTGAGCTCTTCTGGGATATTTGCTCCAATTCTGACTGTCCTTGAAGAATCACCCGGGTGGAGTTCAATCTCCACCATCTTGGCCTCGGGCTCAAGTTTCTCCCGGGTCTCTTCCTTTGTGATTTCTTGGGAGATTACGTTGACTCCTTTGGTCATCTTCTTAACTACCCAGGTATAGCATTCCCGGGCGTTCCTTTGGTCGCCTTTCATCTCTCCCACACGACCTGGAGTGTGGAACTTCATGCACAGGTGTGGCATGGAAATCACTGCCCCGACTTTATTGATGCCTAGCCTTCCAAAGATTGCGTTGTGGACGTATTTGATGTCCACAACGATGAACCGCATCTTCTTCCATACGGTTTTCTCACTCGATCCTAGTTCGACCGGTAAAACTATGGACCCTTCGGCTTCCACTGTATCTCCCGTGAAGCCTGAGAGAGGGGTTTTGAGGGGTTCAAGTTGTGTGTGACACAACCTGAGTTTTTGGAAAGTCTCCAAGTACAGAATGTTGACACTATTGGCGGTGTCAACTAGTACCTGGGCGACGTCCACCCCATTAATGTCCATGGTGATGACCAAAGGATCATTAAGATCTTCACCGGTAGGTGGGAGGTCCCGGTCAGTGAAGATGATGGGTTTTCTTCTGGTCTACTTACGCCTGACTAGGTCAGCACTTATTTCGCCAACGTAGATGCTGCGGACCCAATTCTTCCGCTGCGCAGCTGAATCTCCACCTTCAGGTCCGCCAAAGATCATTCCAATGTGCTCTTTGTCGGGAGCAGGCCTTCGCTCTTTTGACCGGTCATTCTTCCGTCGGTCGTTGTCCTAGTCGCTTCCTTGGGCTTCTGGCCTGATCCATTGATGGCTCTTCTCTTGGGCTCATTTCAAATAGTCTTTGCCCAGCTCTCCGTTGTCTATGATTTTCCGGATGACTCCCTTAACACTCTTGCATTCTGAAGTGTTTTGAGAATTTGACCTATGATACGAACAGTACGTGCCCAACCATTGTCTTCCCGGTTGACCGGTAGGGTTTTCCGGAGGATTGACTAGTGCTTTCCTTATCTCCTGGCACTCTTCCTTCTTGACTTGCACCGGCTTAGGATTGAAACCATGCTCAGCTTCTTTTTTTGCCCGGAGTTGGGTTTCAGCCTCGGCAAACTCCCATGCAGTGTGGTAGGCCTCCTGATACGTGGCTGGGGGTTTCCGGCAGAACTCCTTGTATAATTCCCCGGCACGTAAGCCATTAAAGAGGAGGGACAAGACGGTCTTGTCATCCATCTCTTCCACCTTGTCTACCTGTTCCTTCCACCGGGTGAGGAATTGAGTAAGGTTCTCAGATTCCCTTTGCCCGGCTGTACTAAGATAGGTGAATTTCTTCCTCTTAGTACAATTCTCCTGGAACTTGGCCTTGAATTTTGAGGCCAAGTCACTGAATGAATCAATGCTTCCTGGGCGAAGCTTGTTGAACCATTCGGTAGCTCGGTTTCGCAGGGTTTGGAATAAAAGAAGGAACTTTTCTTCATTAGTGCAACCGTTCATGGTTGCACTTTGGTTGAAGGAGTCCAAATGGATTTCTGGATCCTCCTTCCTGGTGAACCTTGGGGCGTCTATCTTGACCTTTCGCAGGAAAGGTGTCAGATGGACCCTTGTAGTGAACGGGGACCCGGCAAGGGGTTTGTCCCAGTCATTCTTCTCTCCAACCTTCTTCTCCAGCCTTTCCAATTTCGCCTCAATCTGTTGGACGCGGTCATTTGGGATGGTTAACCGGTTAGCCACCAGTCCCCTAGGCTGGCTCTCTGCCTCCTCTTCGTGGCGGGAGGCTCTCGTCTTTGCTGGTTCCTGCTGGTTAGACCGGAAGCGCTGGGTACCGGCAGGCTCGGCCTCCCTCCCCTCGTCGAGCCGGGCGAATGCACTGACTGACATGGGCAAGGCTTTGCCCCAATCTCAGCTTGGCCGACTTCCTCTGGCTTTCTTCCCTATCCCCAAGCCTTTCGAAGGCGGAGTTTCGGGAAGTTGCTGGCCGGATGGCTTTTCCTTTCTTCTTCCTGTGGGCCCTTAGGATATCCCACTCGTCGTCACCGCTCTCGATTGAGACGCAAAGACCATCAAGAGTAACCTGTGGGTTTGTACCTTGCGAATGGCGTGACGGCCCAGCAGCGTTGAGCGCACCAGTCAAGTTAACGGGAGCCATCGCGCTGACCAGCTGCGGCTGGAAAGGCGAGGGCTGCGGTACTGGTGTCTGGAATGGCGTCACTGTCATTGGAGTTTGAAGGGGCACCGTTCCAGCACCTGGAAGAGCAGCAGGAACATGCCAGGGAGGAAAGGCATCCCCCATTTTGTTGGCACGTGGCCATGACCTGGCCAAAGCCTTGGATGGCCTGCAGGTTAGCTGGGTCATTCATGAACTGAGTCATGTTTGGCGGGAACGTGACCCTTGGTCCAGCGGAAGGGACAGGGATCGTGAACGGGGTGACCACGCTGGGTGTTGGGACTGAGCTTAGACCCAACAGCAACACCGGGGTAGAAATAGCTGGTACGGTAGCAACCAAGGGGATGCTGGAACCCTTAGTGGTGGCTTGCACCTGAGCAGAAGTAGCGTTGATTTGCTGGCTTGAAGACATCTTGAGTGGTGTTTTTGTGGGTAGGTTTGTATTTAGAGAAGAAACCTTAACGGTCCCACGGGTGGCGCCAAAAATGATGGTGTAAATTATCTGACCGGGTAAACTATACTAGACCAGGTCTAGAACAGTTTACTTGGTTCGATAAAGTAGAAAGGTTAAAACACTCAAATGACCGGTAGGACTGTAGGTGGAAACACCTGTAGCCCAATTGATATTAATATGAGAGAATGCGCGGTTGCTTTTACAAGGGAGTTTAGAGAGGATGAATTCAGATCCCTATCTCGGAGGATTACATCAGTATTTATACTAAGCTAGAAGGGGACAGGGCATCGTGCACCCACGTTGAGGCAGGTTGCTGGGATGGCGCGAGGTGATTGGCTTTGTCTTTCAGCGGCCTTGTCGCCTAGTGAGGAAGATTGCTCTCTTGTCCTGTAGCGCTTTGGATGGATTTATTCGAGCATCTCCAGCGATCTTCAACTGATATGGGTCGCTACGGTCCAAACCCTTTTAGATTCTTCTCTGCCGACACTTTCTAACCCTAGAAACTACACCGGGTAGTTTCCTAGGGACAAGTTCATCGCACTTAAGGAATGAACGAGGTGATGAAGTAGTTTGACCGGTACACTATCCAAAATGCACCGGTCAAACCTCTGGTCGACCTGGTATCCTTTCTTCGGCGATTGAGGTCTCCCCTTCAAGAAATGCGACTAGATCGGTCAACTATTTGGGCACTTCCTTTGATCAGTCTTGGGTGGATTACACCCATCATGTAGCAATTCATAATCTTGAGATGAAATTCAACACTATTTTAATTTTATCATTTTACATTGTCTTTCATTAAAAATTGGGAGTGTTGCTTTGGATCCCCACTCTATTCTTGCTCTCAATCTTCCTATTTTCTAGATTTGCCAATGCGGTATAGTCCACTCACATCCTCCCAGTGAATCCCTTAGATGGGAGCATGACATTGTCCAATTCAACTAGTCTAGATACTTGAAATGCACCTCCTTTAAAGCTTTGCTGGATCAATGATGATCTTAACTTTTCGTTTATTTATATTTGCCCATTTATATCAAATGGATAAATTTTATCCTTACATATTTAAAAAATAAAGTGAAAGAATGAAAAAAGCAAAGCTGTTAAAATCTTATAAATGAAATTGAAATACGTAGTAAACGATGAGGTTCTAGTGATATCCACTCTGGGTGATATTAGTGGTGTCACTGTCATTTTAGAGCACTTTTGGTATCCAGTTTGTAAAATTGATGGTTTATACTCTCTTAAAAACCCACAAAATACGAGTATTATATTTTTAAATAGTGTGAAAAATTAAATAAAAACTTAAAAAAAGCGGGGAGAGAGATATAATTTTCACTTTGGGAGTACAATCATAGTAGTACTTTCACGGGACGCTTGCTACCGGCTACTCGCGCTTCCGGTAAAAGATTCAAATTAAAGCCTTTCTCTCTCTCGCTCTGTGTGTCAGTCCACACTGTTCCCACTGTCACTCAGCATCAGTCAAGCACTTGAAATTACTTCCATCTCTGGCTGCCAAAACCAGAGCACCCTATGCACTGCAGCAATCTTCCCCAGGTAACAAATAAACCCCCCAAACTTCCCATTTTCAAACCCATTGTCCACTTTCTCGAGAAAAGGCCATCCATGGATTCCCTCTCCAAAAGCTTCTTTCTGTTCTTCTTCTTCTTGCTTATGTCAGCACTTCTCCTCACATACCCATCCCCTTGTCTCTCCCAACCCACAACTGGGATCTCTCTCCTGATGGCCATCAAAGCTTCTCTAGATCCACAGAACCTCATCCTCAGTTCTTGGTCACCCAATGCCACTGACCCATGCAAAGACTCCACCTTTGAGGGCATTGCTTGCAATGGGCTTGGCCAAGTGGTCAACATCTCCCTGCAGGGAAAAGGGCTTTATGGTAAAATACCACCTGAGATTGGGCATATCAAGACTTTGTCTGGTCTGTACCTCCACTTCAACCATCTTCATGGGAGTGTGCCTAGGGAGATTGCTAATTTGACTCAGCTCTCTGATTTGTACCTCAGTTTCAATCACCTCTCTGGTTCCATTCCTTCTGAGATCGGTAACATGTCCAGTCTTCAAGGTTGGTTTCCAACTCTTTTCATCTTTAGATTCTTGACACTTTTTATAGCTTAAAGGTGTAATCTTTTATCATGTTTTGTTTAAAGGAAGAAAAAAAAGAAATGAATTCTTGTAGCTAGATGCCCAGATCTGTGGCTGAATTGCAGAAAATTTGAGTTTCTGGTAAATGTGTTGCCTTGTGCTTACAATTATGAGATAATCTTGGGACCTCAGTCACTAAGGGCCTGTTTGGGAACAAAGTTTCCAATATGGCTGAAAAAATTAAGTAAAAAAATGAAGCTTTGAACGCACTAAAATGGATAATACTGTTTGAAGGAAAAAAGTTGCTTTTTTTTCTTTTCGCAAACTGCTTTTATTTTATCAAAAAGGGGTTTTAACACAGCAGCTTTTGTATGCTCTTTTTTTTAAAATCTTTTCTAGTTAAAGAAACTAAATGAGCATTCTGCTTTGATTCTGTATGCAGTTTTGCAACTCTGTTACAACAAGTTAAGTGGGAACATACCAACTCAGCTTGGATCTCTCAAGAATCTCACAGTTCTTGCCCTGCAATCTAACAGCTTGACTGGAGCAATTCCTGCAAGCTTGGGAGACTTGACACTGTTAAGAAGGCTGGACTTGAGCTTTAATTACCTCTTTGGTTCAATCCCAACTAAACTTGCCAATGCTCCAATGCTTGAAGTTCTTGATGTTAGAAATAATACCCTTTCTGGCAATATCCCTCTAGGTAACTATTTGATCCTGTGCTAGTTTTTTTGGAAATGTTAAATAGCTCTTGTCCTTACTCCTTATAGTACAGATGACTAGGCTTCTGCAAAGAAAATTTTACCTGAGTGTATTTTTGTTCATTTTTATTTGTCTTTTGAATAATGGGAATTGATTGAATGCAGACCTAAAGAGACTGAATGAAGGATTCCAGTACACAAACAACTTGGGTTTATGTGGAATAGGTTTTTCATCCTTAAAGCCATGCTCCTATTCTGCATTCAATTCCAACAAGCCTGAACCTGTTGGCCCAGGTTCTTATGACCTTCCAACCAAAGTCATCCCAGAATCAGCCAATGTCCAACCACACGCTTCGGGCGCACCAAGAAATGCCCGATCTGCCACTGTAGCTGGCGTAGCTGGATTAACTGCCACATTGCTGGCATTCGGACTCTTCACCTATCTAAGACACCGTCGCCAGAAGCAGAGAATTGGAAGCACTGCAGAAACTACTGAAAGTCGACTCAGTACTGATCGCCAACCCAAGGAATTCTCAAGAATAACTGCATCTCCTCTTATAAACGTGGAGTACTCAAATGGATGGGACCCTCTTGGGAAGGGGCAAAATGGGAATGGGTTTTTTAGTGAGGAAGTTCTTGAGAGCTTCATGTTCAATTTGGATGAAGTGGAGTCTGCTACACAGCACTTCTCGGAGACGAATCTGTTGGGAAAGAGCAGTTTCACTGCCATTTACAAAGGGTCTCTGAGAGATGGTTCTGCTGTTGCTGTCAAGTGCATTTCCAGGAGTAGTTGTAAGTCAGACGAAGCCAAGTTTCGGAAAGGGTTGAAGCTGTTGATCTCTCTGAAGCATGAAAACCTATTGAGGTTGAGAGGGTTCTGCTGTTCCAAGGACAGGGGAGAGTGCTTCCTGATCTACAACTTTGTCTCCAATGGATGCTTGTTGCAGTACCTTGATGTGAAGAACAGTGAAGGGAAACATCTGGACTGGCCCACCAGAGTCTCCATAATCAAAGGCATTGCAAGAGGTTAGAGTGCTTCTTGTACATCATTTCAAAACCAATTGGCAATGGAGAAAAGTAACTCAAATTCTTATATACTCCATTAGTCTTTTTTTAGCCTGAGTGTTTTTGATGTGAGATTTTTAAGAAACGTTCATCTTCACCTCAGTTTATGTCTGGTTTTTTCCCCTAACAATCTGAATGAATGATCAACAGGTATTGAATACTTGCATGGAAACAAGGGAAGGAAAGCAAGTCTTGTTCACAGAAACATATCAGCCGAAAAGGTACTTGTCGACGATCTTTACAACCCACTCCTCTCTGACTCGGGTCTGCACAAACTCCTAGCAGAAGACACCGTCTTCTCAACCCTAAAGGGAAGTGCAGCAATGGGGTGTCTAGCACCAGAGTACACAACTACTGGCCGCTTCACAGAGAAGAGCGACATATATGCATTTGGTGTGATCATATTTCAGATCCTCTCCGGGAAACTCATGGTCACCCATTCTAATCATCAAGGAGCAGAATTGTGCAAATACGAAGCTTTTGTGGATCCGAAACTGGGAAGAGACTTCGCAGAGCCTGAGGCTGCTATATTAGGAAAGATGGCTCTACTATGCACACATGAATCTCCTAGCCAGAGACCCACCATTGAAATGCTGATTCAAGAACTGGATGGTATTTGTTAGAGTATAAATTCTTTCATGGGCACACAATCTCAAACTTGAGTTTGTGGGTGTGTTGGTTGCCATTGTATTTGACAATGTTGTAGGGTCTTGATGTCAATGTAGTTTCCTTGTACTTTTGTTGTAGAAGCCCATGGCTTGAAACATGTTAATGTAGTGTAGGGTTGAGACTAGCTTGGGGTGAAATGCAATTCTTGTTGCTTTTAAAATAAAGAACTGCAAAGTTTGGGTCTATTCCTTAGGCACACACCAAATGTCAAGTTTAATCTAGAATAGGGGAAAATGAAGAAGCCAAATATTGAAATATGACAGTTATAATGCAGTGATACACATGTATACAAACATGGCAACAAAAATACAAAGAAATTGAAGTTGGAAAACATATCAAGACAATCCAATGACTATAGAAACACAACAAACCCAGTAGAGTTCTATAGGAGTAGAGTCTGGAGAGGGTGTGTACACACACCATTAATGTTAATCATTCAATGTTAATCCTTACAACCTTTTTTGGTCTCCCTCCGGATGGGTGTGCCGTGACATCAAGATCAGGCCTTGGACCTCCAAGGCCATCTCTAAAAGGTGAGTCCCATTTGGTCAAAAAGCTGCTGATTGGAGCCCCTCTATTGTTATTGGCATCATACTTCAATGCCCTTTCGGGGTGAAAGTCCAGCCCATCATTCCACCTTGGCATATGCTTACCGGCGTTAACCTTCCAATCTTGCTCAAAACCAACCAAATCATCTGCGTTCCAAGAACATTACTTCTTCATTCAGAGTGTAAAAGATAGGAGAATACATTCACATAACGAATGCAAGAAATAAAAATGATGCCCCCTTCGTTCGACTATTTTTAGAACATGAAGATTGTATGGATGATATTGATATTAAAAAGTACGATAAAACAAGGATTATTATATGAACCACGACCAAATATGTGGTATGCAACAAAAATAGTGGGATGGAAAAAAAGATATAAAAGAACAAATATTGTGGGACACAGGGAGTACCTTTTTCCAAATTGTGCAACGTCTCCATTGCATCCACCTTCCCATCGGATTTAAGCTTCCGTGTAACTGTGTGTCCCTATGGGAGTGATACCAATCACATTGATCAATAACACTAGTAAATATTTTACTATCGCGGTACAAAATAGGCTCAAGTGCGAGAGTTTCCATTTCAATATATCAACGAGACCTAATTACCTAAGCAAAAGTTGGTCAGAAATGCACAAGGAGAAAGGGGTTGAAGTACATAAAAGAATCCCAACAATGGGCTTCACCAGTAAACTTGGAAGTCAGAGATTACATCCACTAAATACCACACTAATAGAAGGAAAATTGCATTTCTATTCCTCCTATTGTAACACATTAGTTGATTTTGGTCAAGTGAGTGTCACATTCTTTATATTTTAACAGCGAGATGCACATTTGTTTGTCCAGACTTCTGTATTTGAGCCGGGAGTCTCTCAAAAACAATGTTTCTATTACCTAGTAAACCATACTTCTTGCGTACACACACCATCACTAAACCATACTTCTTTGTGAGATCATGCTGGTTTGTTGTTGTTTGAGGACACACATTAATGTGATTAATTCCAACTAATGACACATCCTAGATCTAATCATTTTGAGACACAAATGTTCATAGGATAAAATGGCCAAAGATATACCTTATCATGTATTCCTCTGGAGATTCTGTGAGTTGCTTCGCCAGTTGTAGTATCCGCATGTCTGGTTTCCTCCCACACCCTCTGGTTTTCCATTTTTAACAAGGGCAAGTGAAACACACAATTCAAGTGAGTACAACAAAAAAACATGCACTAACAACGTGTACGCTGGAAAAGAAGTTCGCCAAAAGTAACAGTTAATTCTTACTCCATCACTTCCTGTCAGGCGGCTTGTTGAAGCAGTTAAATAGGCCCCGTTTATGCCGCCATATGTTACTCTTGTGTAGCTCACACTTCGAGTTCCTTCAATGCTCCCAAAAGATGAATTTTTCCTCATGCTATTGGCCTTGTTATGGTCTATCAAAAGAAGAAAAGACTAATAATTCACGATGAACTTATATATGGAGTAAAACATCTTGCTTAATACTTCCTCCGTTTCAAAAAAATGTTCTAATTTTCCCTTTTGGAGTGTTACGAATTAGTGTTTGTATTCTCCTTTTTGGAAAGACTTCACTAAATAAAATATTCGTTAGGACCGAACACTCTCACTCACTAATCAATATGAAGAAAATCGCAGATAATGTAAGGAGCAAGAGAAAGAAACAAAAGGAAGGATATTCGTGATAAAGCCCAGTGGGTAAACTCCACGGCGGAACCCGGTAAGACTACATACTCCCTCCTTCCCAAATTAATCTTCCTTATTTCCTTTTTGAATTGTCCCAAATTAATCTTCCACTTTCCTTTTTTGGAAAATTTTTTGTGGTTTACTTTTTTTTCTCGATCCTCTGCATCACTTTCAACCGCACAATTTAACTTTTCTCAAACTCCGTGCAAGGTTAAACTGTTAATATTAATTTGGGATGGATGGAGTATTAATGATTCAGTGTTAGAGAGAGTACAACTATAAAAGTAGTTACACGGAGAATATAAAAGGTAAAACCTAAACAAAATATATATGAGGTGGGAGTGTTCAATCTTAACTTCCTAACCAATATTTTATGACATTAAATCAAATATATTAAATCAAATATATTTAATCAGGCTCCACAACCTAACAATATTATTGTCCCCTTATTTCATTTCTCTCTTCTCTATATGTCACACAACGTCACCACTTTTAAAGCTTCTCTTTGCTTTTTTACACTCTCTTTAAAGTTCTCCTTAACTTTTTTACGCTCTCTTCTCTATATCCCATATTCCCAACAACCATTACAGCCGTTATACTATAATGGAAATACTTGCCTCAACGAATGGAGTTGAACATAAAGATACGTACTCGACTATTTGTATCTTTTAGCAAGACAAAATGAGTTTCACATAGTTCACCGATATGAACGAAAATATATGTACTCCGTATATGTTTCACTACGTGGAAACCGTCTCAATAACATAGATACATATGCGTGAGATTTGTTTCACCAAGGTTCAACTCATTTCATGTACTTCATAAAATGAACCCGAGTTAGCTAGTCTTCCGTTCTCAAATACATAGGGAAAAGACGTGTATAGTCAAGTGATACGCAATGAGTGTAACGAAATTCGGGAGTGCAAAAACAAGCAAATGACCGTGAATTACCATCAGCTTGATCCTCCGGATGCTCAACAAGTGGGTTTCTGTTGGTCCAATCACCGGATCGACTTCTCTGATGTTTGTTATCTCCACACTTTTCTACTTCATCCTCCTCCTCATCATCATGATCATTGGTGTCCAGCTCCTCAATGACAGGTCCAGTGGGCTTGCTAGCTCTTGGTAAATCATCAGGACGAGCTTCTTTTGGAACGGGTCTTTTCGATCCAAAAAAGCTACCAAACGAGCCAGATCTTCCGAAAATGCTGGAAATCTTTTCCCCCAGCCCTCCAAATGCATTGCTGCTTGAGGCCTCGTCGCGTACCTCTCTCTCCCTCTGCATATTTCTTTCCTCTGAGCCTAAAATTGTGAGAATTCATCGAAACACAAGTTTATAAACCCGTGCAAAATTCAGAAATGAAAAAAAAAACAATCTTTATGATTCGTTTGGTTGAATGAGAAAAATATTACGGAGTATCAATTCTCTGTACCAACAGCAAATCTATGTAATGGGTTCTTATGCATGAATGAAATGCAGATTATCAATTCAGATAATTTCAAATAAAAAATGCACAAAGATCATAACTTTCTTCTGGGTTCTACCCAATAATATGATGAATTGATGAAAGTTCCTGCTGAATAAAAAATCTTGGAGAAAAATAAAAAATTGAAATAGAGGAATATGAAATGGTTACCTTATCGAACAAGACCTGAGGTTTGAATGCTGATCAAGAACAAAGAATTTTGTTCTGGGAAAACTGTACCTCTCAAATTTGTAAGAACAGCCGAGAATAGGGACCCAAATTTTTTTGTGCTTTTTGGTGTTGCTGGTCTTTAGTTGAAGAATCGCAAGGACGCTAGACGCTTCCAGTGATATCACTTTTTGGCTTTTTAACAAAAAAAGAAAAAAAAAAGAAGAAAAACGGGGGAAAGGTAATGATACAAGAGAATAGGAGGGAACGTGGTACGGTATAGTATGGTATGATATTTAACTTGTACTGATGTCGTACCAAATATTTTAGTTCGGTATGAGATTTTACGTTGTACCGATTCGGTATGGTTTGGGATGGTTCGGTATCGATTTCGGTACGAATCAGGATGAATATATCCATACCTAGTTTACATCATAAAATGTAACAAAAACTTTTATTTTTGAAAAATCGAATGTGCATTTAACCAAAGAAAGATAAAAAATTTAAAAATGAAAAAATAAAATGCAAAAAATGCTTATAAAAGTTAATTTATATTTCACAAACTAAAGAGAACGATTGATAACAAAGTATTATTTCAAATATTTGTTAATATTCTTATACTCATGTACAAAAAATAAAAAACTCTTATTAAAGTGTAACTTAAACATAATGAAAATAAACTAAATTGTCTATACAAATTTTTTATTTAATGAAGAAATATAAAAAGATAATTATTTTATAATATATTAGTATACATGTTCGGTTTGGGAATTTTGGAAGATGAAATGTCTCAGATTTGCCCAGGGATATGAGGGCCTTACATCTTCTAAGTGTTCGACTTTGCAAATCAATTTTTCATTCAAATGAGAATCATTTTTATGCACAATATAAATCGAAACATTCGTCTCATTTTGGAGATTAATTATCCATAATTATTTTAGAAAAATAATTTTAAGGATCTTACCGAATTTAAGTCCGGATTTAGCCCGTTACAAGTCAAAATTCAAATAAATGCAATTTTTTATTATATTATTATATGATTAATGCATATTTAAAGTTGTAAGTTATAAAAGTAAAAATGTACCAAACGTTATCAAACGCTATTCGAATTTAATATGCATGTATATATATACCCATAGCATAACACATCAATAGAATATTGTCCCAAAGTCGGATAGTTATACGAGTAATTAATTAATAGAGAAAATTTCTTGAATGATTCTCGGTATAAAAGGCTTTCAGTTTATCCACCACGGGTAATTGCAAACAAAGGGCATCATTATTGTTTTATTTATATATTTACGCACCTAGATTAACCCCATCTTACACATAACTTTTAATCTCAATATTTTTCACAAACATTAAAGATACGGAACAATATTTTTTATCTGTAATATCTGTGAAAACAATGAGGTCAAAAATAAAATGCAAAAAATAAAATGCAAGATGAAGTTCATGTACTCATAATGTTTTTTCTTTGTATATTTACGGCTAAAATCCACCATTGGTCCTTCAACTTTATCAGTTGTGCACAATTGGTCTTTCAAGTTTCAAAAGTCCATAAATAGTCCTTCAACTTTATGAGTTCTGCACCATTGGTCCTTCAAGTTTCAAAAGTCCATAAGTAGTCCTTCAGGTACACGCCAGCCCTCCATATGAAGTCTTTTTGACAGTAAATATTAAATGTTAAACAAAATACTAGTTTCATATAATACGAGTAAATTCCACTAGGTACGATTACTCCATATTATATGGAGCTAGTATTCCTTTTAGCTTTTAACATTTACTGTCAAAAGGACCTCATGTGGAGGACTTACGTGTACTTGAAGGACTATTTATGCACTTTTAAAACTTGAAGGACCAATCATGCATAACTCATAAAGTTGAAGGACTATTTATGGACTTTTAAAACTTGAAGGACCAATCGTGCACAATTGATAAAGTTGAAGGACCAATGGTGGATTTTAGCCTATATTTACTTGTTAATCTTTTCATACTAATTTGTCAACAAAAGGGGCAAGTGGGTGGTGGCAAGGTGTGGATTGGGAAGGGAATTGAAGGAGCACAGAGAGGTTATGGGGTTGTGCTTCATTTTTTTAGTACAAAAGAATATGATACAATTTTATAATAATTGGTCTTAATCAATAATGAAAGATACATTCCTATTTATAGTGATTACATGAGAGAGTTCCAATCCAAGTAAGAAAAAAAGTAGTAACAATATAATAAGAAAAAAAGGAATAAGGAAGAAATTAATTATAATATTTATTTCTTGTTACCTAATATTCTTAATATTCCTTGCAAGTTGATCATCAGTAACGGGGAATAGTTTGGAGCACATGTACTAGAATTGAACTAGCAAAAGTAGTTTTGTGAGGATATTTAGAAGTAGAGAGTTAGATCTTCGTTGCATGACAAACGAGTTTGAAATTACGTTTGCTGAGTTTTTTTCTAGTGAGAGTTTGACAATTGGAACGAGGGCGAAAAATTTCACTATCATTTTCCATGCTCACGATAATTGATTTTTTTTAGAAGAGAGTAGAGATAATTGATTTTTTGGAAATAAAGAGAGAGAGATAATGGGTGGTAGCATGTTAGGTGCTTGCGTCAAGATTAGTTGGTGATGACCTACTGTCGGACAATCAACCGCCGTGAACAGAGACTGGCGATGTGCTCGGTCTTAAAGAAGAGTCTAAGTTTTAGAAAATCTTAGCTCCGATACCATGATACAATTTGATAATAATTGATCTTAATGAATAATGAAAAATACATTCATATTTATAGAAATTACATGAGAGACTTTCAATCCAAGTAGAAAAAAATTTAGTAACAATACAATAAGAAAATAAAGGAATAAGAAAAGAAATTAATTATAATAATTATTTGCTACTCCGTATTATATAATATTCCTTACAGAATATGTTTTTCTTATAGTTAATCACATGTAAAATTTTCATCTTATTTTTAAATGTATAAAATTTTCATCTAATTTCTCTTTTTGAGAGCAGGCAAATTATGACTTCTCAAAATGAGATCATAATGAAGTTATTGATCAAAACGTTAGTTCTCAAACTAATATTGTTACGAGGAGTAGCAAGTGAATGCAACGCAAAACTTTATTGCAAATGTTACGGATTATGCTACGAGGTCAATGCGGAACGATTTGGTGGTCTCGATGATCCAATGATTTTAAGAGAAAAGTGTGGCATATTTTGTGAAGATATAATAAAAACCAGTTGTGGTAATCTCAATTGTCCATGTGCTGTAGGGGACCCTTTTTGCCCCTGAACTAGATATTTTTTTGTACGTTTTACCAATGATTAATTAAATACTCTAGATATTGAGTATTATGGTAACCTTCGTTGAGCTAAATAAATATAATTTCAAATATTAATGTAACTAAGTATCTACGTTTAACCTTATGTTTCCATTCGCATGGTTTAATATACATTCTAAATTTATAATATTTGTCTAAAACTATATTTTATTTGTGCAATATAATTTTATTTAATACTCTGTATTATTTTTATTTTTTTGGAAAATAAAAATAATCGACTATATTTTATTCATCCCTGAGAGATTTGAATTCATCCCTGAGAGATTTGAATTCATCCCTCGACGAGTTGAGGTCGATTATATTGACTATCAAATAGAGTTTCTACCTAGCTCATCGAGTACCAACCAGTCTTGAAGAGTTTGTTTTGTTTCAACCCTAATCCTCCAGTGTCCCACCCAATGCTGAATTTGGGACTCTTCTGTAGAATCATCTTGATGTCCAAGAACTTCAAAAATTTCTTTTCTGCTCGAGAGTAGAGGTGCATCGCCTTCGTGAGAATATCTTCGGTGTTGGACCATGGCCACATCTTCTAAACATGGCATATAGGCCACATGACATTTGGATTTCTTGGTACTTGGGAAAACAAACATAACCCACACCGTATAAAGAATAGAAAGAGAACCTAAATATATATGGTTACCCAACCATATTAGTATGAAGCTTTTAAGGAGGTGCCTAAAAACAAGTTTGTGAGGTAATGGCCCAGAGCAGATAATAGCATACTAATACTTCTTGGGGCGAGGGCACGCCTGGTCCCAACATGTGGTATCAAAGCCTAGTTCGTGCGGGACAGAGTGGCAGACTGCATAAGTGGTGGTCGATCGTGCGGCGTGACCAGTTTAGTGTTAACAGTGGTACAAGATGATTTGGAAGATTAAATGGTGTGACCTTAGCGGATTGTTGGTCTGCGGTATACCTTATGTCGAAGGTCTTCCCGAAAAAAGAATGTCGGGTGGCGTGTCCCGCAAGTGTGTAGCAACAGTGCAAGATGGTGTGCACATCAAATAGATAATAATCATTGAAGGGGAAGTCACGAGATTGTGTGGTCCTAATTTGAGGGAGCTTTGTTGGGAAAACAAACTTGTCTCACACCATGCAAAAAAGAGAAGAACCTTAATATATATATGGTTACCCAACCACATTAGTATGAGGCCTTTTTGGAGGTGCCCAAAAATAAATACGTGAGAGCATGGTCTAGAACAAACAATATCATACTATTGCGGGGTTGGGGTGAAAGGATGTGTGTCCCAACACTTGTGTACTTACCCCACCCCCCAGTATTTTCAAAGCATGTCGTAAGCACCATGACTTCCATCCTGGCTCCCGTCCTATAATGCATGTCCACCACGCGACCCTGTAAGACCTGCAGCACTGTGAGTTTTTTTGGATAAATCTACTTGTACCCCCAAGAATATACCTTAAAGTGTACCTAAACTATTTACAATTACATTTTGCGTTAAAGTTAGTGTGAGATTGATAAATTACATTAATACAAAATGCATGTCAGCACAAAATTTTGTAATCATACAAATATTTTGTATTAACATAAGCCATTAAAATGTAAGTACAAAATATAATAGTGCATTTTGGCCACACTTTTTAGGTAAACCTAGCTTTTTTAAACATTCCAAATGTTTATTACTCTCGTAGCAAGTGTCTTGGACTTTTGGTGACGCAAATGCCAATACCATATTACCATGGTGTCCGATGACTCCGATCCATCTACACATATATGTACCAAACATGCACACAAGTCAAAACCTAGTAGAATCGTCTCTATCAATTAATTACCCCACTCTCCATCAAGCATTATGG